AAAAATGTGGAACTAGTACGTACTGGTGCAGCATAGCATGCCGTTCGCACTGGTAGTGTCGAGCATTTTCCAGTACTATACTGGGATTTTTCTGTAGGAGATTCGATCATATTTCTCATAAGAATCTGATAAGAATAACGTACGAGTTTTGCCGACTCTTACCAATTTCTTATGAATTCTTGTAAGATTCTTATAAGATTCAGCAGAATTCTTGTCACTTTCGTGGAAGATCTTATAAGATTTCACTAAGTTTTTTTGTCTAGAGTCTGATGACTTAATATAAGAATATTAAATGGAGAATAAAAAAGATGAATACGTAGTGTTAAAATAGCGGAAAATGATACTAATACGCAATAAAAAAGCTAATAAAACTAATTATAATTGTGATCCTGTTTTTGTTCTTATTTTGAATTTATCTGAAAATCAGATCAATATTGTCAGATCATATTGTCAGATATATTGTCAGATCATCAGATCATTTGTAACTTTAACTCTTTTCGTGTTAGAGAATGAATTAGACTAAAATAAGCATGTACACGTGACGAAACCCCTCGAAATAAGAATACAAGACTGTCCCAAAGCGGTGAGGATTGGACCGGGAGCGCAATTTTGAGGGATGACTAGAAATCTTTACCGGAGGGAGGCTGTCACTAGTTTTTGCAAGTACTGCCGAAGATCGCGAGTTTTGGAATACCTTGTGATTTTTTTAAGTGGAGTGCAGTGGTTTTTTGGAGCGGCTAGCGATTTTTTGGAAGGACTAGCGACTTCCTCTACAAGAGTTCGGAAATTAGTTTAGGAAGGGTCACGATTTTCAGAGGAACTGAAGCCTCTTTCGAAAGAAAGCACCGATTTTTTGCAAGGGTTATTATCGTGAGGAGTGCCTAGTGAGTTTCTCTGTGGGAAAATCTCTAACGATTTTTTCGGAATAGACACGATTTAATTTTTCCAGCATTGTTCCAATTTCTGCAAAGAGAATTTTGGATATTTTCGAAATATGTTTTCTAAATTTTCGTTACTTCTAAAATTTCTGAATTCATCGTTTTCCAACAAAGAACGGAGAATTCCGTACTCCGCCAAAGAATGGTCAGCTTTTGGTCATCTCCTGAAGAGTACAGGTGTGCCTAGAAAAATCGAGAATTCTTTGTTTAAAAAATTTGGTTTTGTTATCAAAGCACAGTTTATTCCAGTTATCGAGTCTCCTCAGAGATTCGTCTCGAACAGAACTGGAGTTACATGGTTGCTGATTCTGTAAACTGCTGTACTGCACATACTTACGCAAATGCTTGACTAGAACTCAAGTAGTTGATGCAGACTACCTGCATACTGGTTCAAGCCACTCTGGCAAATACTTGACGTAGTATTTAACTATCTGATGAATACTTTCGAGCGGTAGTTAAGTCATTCTAAATCAGCATTCAGAATGTATCATGCACAAAAGAGAATATTGTCTCGGAGGTAGTTTTGCATTTCGGACATGAATGTAGTAGTGCGTACATATAATGTAATCCTGGTCTTTTTTCGCCAGAAGAACTCTTAAAAATACTGTTGATCCTTTCTATTAAACAACACAATAGAATGTTACACTGTTTCCTTTCAAAAGCAATTATTTTAGTGCATACCGTGATTTTAAATACTAGAAAGCCCCATGTATTTGGCTCAAATACTTGAAACTGTAGATCGCCGATCACAATGTAATATACTTTCAACATTACAGTTTCAAGCACTTGGAATCAGTACAGGCACTAGTACGGACGTTTTTAAAGCAATTCGTTAATAAAAGTACTCTAAAAGTGAAACGTTCGCCTTTAATCCATTCTCATTTTCTTTTCTAGTTGTATAAGCTGTGATATAATGTCACTCAGCAAATCCACAAATGAGCGTACCGAGCGTTCAGATACAATGGGTACTGCTGTCTTCAATTCAAAAGATATGCAAAGTATGCATCACTCACTAAACGGCGAGTTCATACTGTATCAACTTATTGTCAAACGTTTACTAACGGAAGAACATGCGAAACTTTCCTCTGAATCAGGACTTGCTGACCATTTTAAACCTGAAGATAAAGCTGACCAACAAGTTATGATCGAGTTCAATACCAAATACGAACCCAGTAAGGCCGTTCATTGGTATACACGCGACACATGTATTTATCGTTTACTCAATAAAGCTTTGCGAACACAAAATATAGATGATATACTTGTTTTCGGCCCATTTATTCGAGATCTGTTTTCGCAATTGTCACATGAGCATATGATATTTTCGAAGAAGCGTGGATTATCGATCCTTCAAGTCTATCGGGGGCAACTTATAAGTAAAGAGGAAGTGAATCGGATGAAACATGGTAAAGAGACTGTTCGCCAATGGTACCATCACTTGGGGAGGAGCGAGTCGAAATAAGTGACCATTGAACACATAGGAGGGCGGAATCGATCACTTGATTATGCTTTCTAGTCAGTTTTTTGTTTTGATTGCTGGGTTGCTGATTGATTAATAGAAAAAAAGCAATTTATCTTTCAGTACGAAAATGTTTCACTTTTAGATTTCAAAGTACTATGCTGCCTATCAATCGAAGATACGCATTGTAATTTCAGCTGAATATCCTGAAAACCCTTGATAGCTAAATTTTGTTTAGATTTCGAAGGAAACACTAACTAGTACAAGAGTTGGACTTTTTATAGTATTTGCCAAATTTTCCTCTATATCCAACCAAGCGTGAGGATAGTACCTAAAGTATATGGACTCATCATTCACACGATGCGAGTCACGGTCTTTTGGCTTTTTTTTTCGCTTTACTATTTATTGATACGATAGTAAGCGCTTACAAAAGTAATGAAAAAAATTTAAAAATCAAAAAGTTTTGTTTACAATGTTGGTCATTCTCATATTCTACATAGCTCAATCCGAGAATAGTTTTTCAATAACATAAAAAATTAACATACGGAAAACAAAAAACAAAAAAGGAAAGACAAATCTGGAACAGATTTAACTAAGTGGACTAGTATCTCAGCTCACAATTACAGATGTCTAGAAATTAAAGCCATTCGAGAAGATAACATTGATGATTCTCAATCATCTTTTTTACACGCTTTAGTCTAAAAAAGTGACCTATGACCTAACCCAAGTTTCTTTGTGTCGATTACAAGGAAATCCCAATAAAAAATATCATTCAGGTAAAAGGATTGGCCTAAGTCGGATATGTGGCTTCGCGCAAGCATTTTTTCTAAATAGGATTTAATATAAAAATTCAGATCGTGTTTCGTTAATAAAAGAGCAAAGATCGTGCGCCGATACAAAATGGCATCTATAGATAATACGGAACCGTACTCGAAATTTGTGGTAGAATAGTTCTTATTGTGATTTTGGTAGCAAGGGAAAAATGCAAGAGATCCACGTGAAGAAGGGAAAAGCACAGGCGAAGAAGCAGAGTCGAAGAATCTTGGTTGAGATATTTTTATTTCGCTTCAGCCATTTTACTTTTGAGTAGGATGTTTGAATATTTTCTAAACAACTATCGACCGTAGGTTTTAGCGAAAGTTTGTCAGTCCACGTAAAACCTAAGTATTTAAAGACAGATACTAACTTGACTATAGGGAAAACATTTTAAAGAGAGCCGAAGTGGAAAGCTCATCCGACTATCCTTTCTTCATCTCTATATGTCACACTTAAATGTATTTTTTTTTCCTGTCTATTATCCACAAGACAATTCGCCATGGCGAATTGTCTTTTGGCGAAACGTTCAGAGATTCGTAAATTGCACGCGTCGCTTATGTGGGCACCCAGTGGATCGACTGATTTATTTTTGCTGAAAATGAGCCTTATTAAATTGGGCATCTTCCATTTCTGAGCAGCGGGCACCGATTTTGACCCGTTGAAATGGTCGAACCCCTCTGATGTGGACACATTTGGTAAATGTTTGAATCAGTATACTGTTCTCTTTCTTCTTACCGGTCTGTTATGCTGTGAATGTGGCGAAGAAAGGGTTCGTCCGGTCTAGCAAACAAAACGACCGTTATACATTTTTTAATAATCATGTTCAATACCTGTTTTTTTCAACTGTGATTTTCATGTCTTTTCTTGTACTGTTGATAGATTAGTAACACTTGTGTCGTTATGCTATAGTAAAACGATCTAAATTTCTTTTGTTTACTCCTACAATCACTTGTGTGGAGTAGGATGTAATTCGCAAATTTTTTTATTTGTCAATATAAAAGATTATTGGTATAAGCAAATGGTATGACAGGTTTTCTAGTGAAAAAGAAATATGCCGATTGGAAATGATAACGACCAAAGACAGCGGAAGAGCAGGTGATCGAAATTCATCAATATCAATTGCCTGACAATTACTGAAAGACTCGACGCACTTCTGACAGCGCACGCTCATCGAAAGGGGTCCACGTCAATTGATCGAAGACGGATGACGCCATTTTTGTCTAGCCTTAAAGGTCAATTGATTTCAATGCATTCATTTTTGTCAACAAGTACAAATCGACAAAAAGCCATAGAATTTGCTACCAGCAAACCACCACCTTCAGATAAACTAACAGCTATCTTACTGGAAATCAATGTTGTTATAGAACCTTCGAATCAACGTTATGCGGATATCAAACATCTGAGTGCATTTTCCAAAGAAGAAGAGATTCTTTTTATGCTCGGCTGTGTTTTCCGTATTGATAATATTTGGGACGATATAGAACTGAAACTGTGGAGAGCATCGTTGACACTGTGTAGTGATTACGATGAGGACCTCGAAGAATTCTCATCCACATTAGAAAAGGAAATAGATGGAAAAGATGAGTCAATATCACTCGGTACTTACCTGTTTCAAATGCAAAAATTCGACGAAGCCGAAGCATACTATCACAAGTTATTGAATAATAAATCAATTACCAGTGAATTAGATCTAGCCTTTTGTTATCATGGGCTCGCTCAAGTAAATAACGCAAAGGGTGATTATGACTTAGCTATAGAAAATCTTAACATAGCACTAGATTATTTATTAAAACATCCTGCAACAAAAGATCATCCTCTCGTTTCACAAAGCTATAATGATTGTGCATCCATTCATTCTAATCAAGGCGATCATTCACTTGCTTTCATCCATTATGAGAAAGCATTAAAAACTAAAAATAACAATGACTCATTAACTTATTCTGGTCTAGCAGAAATTCAATTTCAAATGGGAAATCATCGACTTGCATTAGAGTATCAGTACAAGTGTCTCGAAAAACAACCAAAAGCAGCCCATTCAATGATTGCAAACACATATATCGATATCGGTAAAATCTATGCAGCAGCGAACGAGCAGGAAAAAGCATCGAACATGTTCGATCAAGCAATAAAACTTCAATTAAACGTACTGCCTCCAGATCACCCTGATCTTGGATATACTTACAGCGCTCTGGGAGTGGCTTATTTTGACCTTGGTCAAGAAGAAAAAGCATTTAAATACGTTCAAAAGGCAATTCAATTACAGACAGAATCACTCCCGGAAAACCATCCTGATTTCGGACAAAGTTATAAAACCTTTGGTAATCTCTACCTGAAGATACGTGATTTCGATCAAGCATTAACTTATTTTCATAAATTGCTTAATCATCAACTAAGAACACTGTCATGGAAACATCCATCCGTGGCCGATACGTACACGACGATCGGAAATATTTGTCTTGAAAAACCGGATTTAGATCAAGCATTAATCTATTTCCATAAATTGCTTGATAGTCAGATTAAAAGAAAGCGACTGGGAGACCCGTCGTTAACTAATACTTACAAAATTCTGGAAAATATTTATTTAGAAAAACGGGATTTAGATCAAGCATTAATCCATTGTCAGAAATTATTGGATAACGAACTACAAAGAAAATTATTGGAAGATCCATCGTTAGCCGATACATACAAAACCATTGGAAATATCTACTTTGAAAAAGGTAATTTTGATCAGGCATTAAGCTACTATAACCGGTTGCTTGATTGTCAACTACAAAAAAAACCATTGGAAGAGTCATCAGTGGCCGACACGTACAAAAGGATTGGACATATTTACTTACAAAAACGTCGTTATGATCAAACATTACTTCACTTTCATAAATTACTTGATAGTGAACCACAAAGAAAGTCTTTGACAATTGCTCCGTTGGCCGATACGCAAATAATCATTGGGAATGTTCACTTTGAAAACCGCCATTTGGATCAGGCAATTATCTATTATTGTAAAGTACTTGATAACCAACTAAAAACACTATCATCGAACCATCCATCCGTGGCCGATACGTACACGATCATAGGAAATGTTTGCTTGGAAAAACCGGATTTTGATCAAGCATTAATCTATTTCCATAAATTGCTCGATAGTCAGATTAAAAGAAAGCGATTGGGAGACCCGTCGTTAACTAATACTTACAAAATTCTGGGAAATATTTATTTAGAAAAACGGGATTTAGATCAAGCATTAATCTATTTTCATAAATTACTAGATAACAAACTACAAAAAAATCTATTGGAAGAACCATCGTTAGCCAATGCATACAAAATCATTGGAAATATCTACTTTGAAAAAGGTAATTTTGAACAAGCACTGATCTATTTTAACCGATCGCTTGATTGTCAACTACAAAAAAAGCCATTGGAAGAGTCATCAGTGGTCGATATGTACAAAAGGATCGGAAATATTTACTTACAAAAACGTCGTTATGATCAAACATTACTTCACTTTCATAAATTACTTGATAGTGAACCACAAAGAAAGTCTTTGACAGATGCTTCGTTGGTCGATACCCAAACAATCATTGGGAATGTTCACTTTGAAAACCGCCATTTGGATCAGGCAATTAGCTATTATCGTAAGTTTCTTGATAACCAACTAAAAACACTATCATGGAAACATCCATCAGTGAGGGATACGTACAAAATCATAGGAAATGTTTGCTTGGAAAAACGAGATTTGGATCAAGCATTAATCTATTTTCATAAATTACTGCGTAGCGAACTAGAAAGAATACCATTGAAGGACCCATCATTAGCCGATACGTACAAAATCATTGGAAATATCTACTTTGAAAAACGTAATTTGGATAAGGCATTGATCTACTTTAGTCGATTGCTTGATTGTCAACTACAAAGACAACCATTGGAAGAGTCATCAGTGGGCGATGCGTACAAAATGATTGGAAATATTTACTTAAAAAAACGTCATTCTGATGTAACATTACACTATTTGAACAAAATGTTTGATAGTCAATCACAAAGAAAGTCACTGACGAACAAATCGTTGATCGATGCTCGCAAAATTGTCCGCAATGTGCACTTTGTACAACGTCATTTGGACCAAGCAATTAGGTACTATCGTAAATTGCTTGATAACCAGCGAGAAACACTGTCATGGAACCATCCATTGCTGGCCGATACTTACACAATCATTGGAAATATGTGCTTGGGTAAAAGGGATTTTAGCCATGCATTAATCTATTTTTACGAATTACTTAAAAAGCAACTTCGAAGCAGTCCTTCTGGCAATGCGTCGTCAGCCAATACCTATACAATCATCGGGGATATTTATTCTGAAATGGGTCATTTTGATGATGCATTAAGAAATTATCAAGAATCATTGCATATTTACGAACGAACATATCCATCGACGCACGCTACAATTCGAAACATTAGACAGAAGATACGCAATACCTTTATACCCGAGGAAGTGGTATAAAGGTCTTTTAAGATACAAGCCGTTCATGAGTTGGCGGGAACCTCTGTTTCTATCAACAAACATCGCTTATTATATTAAGACATTTGCATAATGGTGAAGGGTCCTTAAATAAATGACTAATAAATAATAGTAATAATCTATAAGTCTTATAAATCTAAACGCCTAGGAACTCAGATAAATCTAATACTCGAAAGCTGAAAGTCTAAAAGTCTAAGCAGACTAATAGTCTGAAGATCAAACAAGTCTAAAAGCAATGAATCTAACAGTCTAAAAGTCTTTCACCGTCGATTCGGCATTTCTGATGTGACCACGAAAAAGTAGTCATTTAGTATCCTTTTTCGTCAATAAGTAATCGTAAGATCTATTTTCTCCCATTGTGCTGTTTCGGAAGACTAGCGTGACAAGTTTTCGTACAGCTCAAAAGAAAGAGAAAGAACCTTGTTGATTGCCGACATTTTCCATGATTATGATAGACATCTAGCACACCACTACCACACAAAAAATTTTCAGTCTTTTGTACCGTATTTTGGCTGAGTTATGAATGTTTCACTATTTAATCTTGTAAGCGAAAATACAAAAAGTCATAACTTTTGAAAGAAGCAATAAGAGCAGAAATCCTTTTAGGGTTTTTGATAGGACACTAAATTTATGTAGTATCTAAAGTTATAGAATTTTTCTTTCATAAGGAAATCCAAATGTTTTTCGAAAGGGGGTGAAACATGAGATGTCAGGAAAATTTGCTGAGGAAAAAAAGCCACGGGTTGATGGGCCAGTCTGCCGTTTAGCCTGAGGAACAGCATCATCAGAGAAAACGCTGTCTTCCTTCTGCCGTGCAGAGACCGCCCACCTAAGACGGATTTATTTATTTATTTCGTGACACGACATTTGCACGAACGACGTTAACGCGAAAAGGATCCCGGTCTCCCACGAATTTTTCATAGTACACATTTGAGTATTTTTGGCAGTGTGCTGTGGGCGGTGGAGGCAATGTGAGAGTGCGTTCGCAAAGTAGTCTCACGCAAAAGATATTTTCATGGTGCGAAACTGAATATCTGTAACTGTGTCATATAATGACTACCTATGTCGCAGAAGACCAAAAATTGTTTTTTCGTTAATCAAATGGATAAGGGATAAAGAAATGGAAAAATATTAGTGGCCTAACGCAAACAATGATTACAAAAGCGAAATTCTGCAAAATTTCCAAGGGGGAAAAAGCATACTTCTGTACTTCTCAGTACTTCTCCGTACT